CCGCTTCTGGAAAGGCAGCAATCCTTATTTATTACCAAGCAGTAAATTCGATTATCGCAAGAGCTCTCTCCTCAGCCAATATTTCCTCAACGTTGGAATCAGGAACTTAATGTCGGAGACAATATGAGGTCGATGGGATGGCACTCATTCCTTAGAGCAACGAAATCCCAATAACCTGAATTACACACTCATTGATCGTTTTGCAGCATCCTTTAGTTCAAATTTTTGTTAGAGAGGAAATTAGAAAAATTAATAAATATTGTATCATTCCATCATTTTAACCCATTGTTTCCGACTATTCTTTCAAATCAAGACCACGGGATTTCTTCAAAACTAGAAAATTATTTTCTATATAATTATAAAAAAAATAAATGTCACCTTACGGATTAAATATTGTAATTTAATATTGACTTATTCTATTTTTTTTTGGATATAATAATTTAACCTAGCGGCCCGGTCCGGACAATTTTGGTTCGGGCTGGATGGGATCTAATATTTTTTTAGAAAAAAAAATCCAAATGAAATTGATTATTTTAAAATTTTTGCATGAAATAAGACTCCAAAAATTAAATTTTATTTGTTTGTAGAAAACTAGGCTGAAATATATATTTTATTTATAATATCTCGCTCTACCACGACTAAATTAGTTACGAATTTAGTCAATTCGTTAATTAATTTATCAAATGCCTCTGTTATTAACTAAAAATATTTTTTGCATATTTTTTTATTTTCAAAAATTGTTTAAAATAGTTCACCCTACGGGGTCCTATCTAGGGGAGGAAATCGAAGACATTATTTTTAATAAAAAAAAGTCGTTATATTTTATTATCTTTTCATTTTAAATTTTTTTTTAAAAAAATTTTTGTGTTTTTTTTAAATAAATTTTTGTGTTTTTTTTTATTAAACATAAATATGAATCTTAAAAATTAAAAAATTACTAAACCATCTTGTTGAAAAATTGTCCTCTTTTCTTATCTTAGGACCTTCTTATTTTTACTAATTAATATAAAATGTTAATATAATTATTTGATATCATTGTTTCATCTTAAAGATCATCCATCCAATTATCGCAAATATTATTCCTTTTTATAAGAGTTCTTTATCAAAATATATAAATACAAATAAATATACGAAGTAATCTTTTATTCTTCAAATTTATCGGCTCAGCAGCTAAGCCCCCAAATATTATATATTATTTCGCAGCCAACGTATTATTATAATTTCCAGTAACCAGTTACCGTCTGATTTTTGAAGATTAGATAATTTTTGAAGGAGTGAAGGAGATGCTTTTTTGGATTCCGTCATTAATAAAGGCCGGAATATATAATAAATTCCTCCTTAATTCAATGCATCATTTTTTTTAAAAAAAGTTATGCGGCGATTAAAGTATTAATTTTTATATTTTTTTGGCTCGTTCTTGCTTTTCATCCCTTTCAATATTTTTTTTATGCAATTCTGGTTATGTCCTGGTTTGACTTAATCTCGATACTTAATTGTTTTTTAGCCTAGACTGAACAGCTTTTTAAACTAAGACATCCTATTTTGATTTTTTTGTATTTGGTGGTGGCATTGTTATTTTTCATATTTAATTTTCCCCATGTTTTCTTTTGATTATGAAATTGATTATGTTTTTAATTTGTAAAAAAAAACGATATTAACAAAATAAATCTTGTAAATTGTAAAAATAAAAAGTAAAAAATAAAATAAAAAAATATTATGTTTCGAATTAAAATGAAAATTTTGAATTCGCTTCGTTTATCTTTATAGTTTTGTATAGCAAGGCTACGTTAAAATAATATAATTTATAAACCAATGACTAGGAGCTTTTAAAATAAATAATATTAATGTAACATTTATACAAATTTTTTTTTCTTTAAAATTTTTAAATTTATATATTTTTTTTTTGAAAATCGATGCATGGCGTGCTTGAGAAATCATTTATTTTATTTATTTTATTTTTTTAAAACTAATTAGATTATCTTTTATAGGATTAATTTTTTTTTATAATTATTGCCATTTGCCAGAAATTTTATTTTGTTTTAAAAAAAAAAATTTTGTAATTTATGATAATATTACAAATTTGAAGCATTTTTTGCGTTAATAAATTTTCAAATAATGTAAATTTTTTTAAAATGACGCGAAAAAATTTTTTTAAGTGTTAAAAAAAACGCACTTTTAAAATTTTTTTTTAACGCTTCTTGTTCAATTTTTAACATTATATGATTATACATAATTATCTTCTTTTTTCGGTGGTTAGAACTAGTCATCTGCATCGGGCCTAATTTTTAAAGACTGACCAGCCTAAAAAAATTTTAAAATATTTGTCCTGCTTGGCCCGATCCCGAATAAAATTTTTTTATTTGCCCCGAAAAGTCCGACCCGAAATATAAACAAACCCTGCCAGAATTTTTTTAAATATAAAAATATAGAAATAAAAAATATTAGAGCCTTGTTTCTCTCAAGAATTTTATATTACATCAGTTTATTGACAAACTAATGATATCATATTTAAAACTTTAAGCCAGACCAGGCCCGAAATTTTTTAAAAATAGGGCCGGGGACCATATGCAGGTTGGGCAGTGATTTGCAGATCTCTAATGAGAACCGAGCTGATATTTATTTTAGGCCTCGAGCCAATTCTGAAATTTAAAAATTAAACGAAAAATTTTTATAAATAAAATAAAAATCACTAATTGCTTTTCCTGATCCCACTGAAATTTTTTATTTTTTTTAAAGGATTACATCACTTTCTATTTTAACAAAACTCGTAATTGCCCCCCCCCCCGAAATGTTATAAGAACATACAAATTTCCAGAAACCGGTGACGGGCGCTGACAAAAATACAAATAAATTTACGTATGATATAATGTTCGACATGTTGTATCCCATAATGGGCATACTACATGATTTCCCTTTTGGAACCCGTTCACACAAAATAAATTAACGAGAAAGAAATACAAATCTAAATATGAGAGACAAATTTGAAGCCCGCTCAAATCCCCAAAATAGGGTACTTTTTATTTTCTTTTTTCTTTTCTTACACTTTCTATTGGTTTTGTTTGATACATTTAGAGTTTATTTCCTGTTTAGTCCTTTATTTATTTTTTATTGCATATTAGCAAAGTCTAGAAGGAACCATAAACCTGAAACACTCGAAACCTCAAAGGGAACAAGAAACATTATTTTTTTTTAAATATATTCATAACCGGACCCCCCTTTATTTAAGTTCCTTTTCTGGTTTCTTGATTTCCCGTTTAAAATTCTGGAAGAAAAAAAAAATACATCCTTTTTCTAAACATCCTCCTTTTCTTTCGTTAATTGTCTTTTTGTAAATAAAAATAATTGCTCTCAATTTTTTTTTCCACACTTAATTAAATAATATAAATAAATTTTTTTTTATAATAAGAAATAGATTTTTGTATATTATAATTACAAATCAAATTTTTAATTAAAAAAAATGAGCAATTATACTCGAATTTAAAATCGAAATGATTAAACTTAGTATAAAATTAGCCTCTAAGAATATAAATGAAAGTAATGTGCCTAATATAATATAAGATTAAATACTTACAACAAAAAATGTCCCATTCTCTTGTCCGCCCATATGCTACTTGACAATTTCTAGTTACGGCCAAGACATGTTCTAGAATAAAAATTTAGTGAAAGGAGACTAGTTTCTAACGTTACCCATAGTTACCCCCCCCCCCTACAGTATACGATATGAAATTTAAAAAATGTACTGTATAAATAATAACTTTCCTAATTCTGATACCATTAAACTCTTATTCTAGAAGGAACTACCTATCTTCCTATACGCATAATTGGGTCATTAAATTGCCTTTCTTCTGCCATTTGCCATTCCTCTCTCCTTCCCCTTTCCTCCTGTATTCTCTCTCAATTTGATATTACAATTTTACTATTCAATACATGATTTTTTAAATATTTTATATAATATTAACATATCAGAACGACTAATCTTTAAAAAAAATATATTATTTTCTGCTTATATTAGATCAAGGCATTCATGGGATAAATATTCTTTTTTTTAAACTAAATTACCTATTAATTTTAAAAAAATAGCAAACGTTTATTAAAACCAACTAAAAAAAAAAATTTTTGTCAAATCACGTCATATGTGAAATTTTCTTTTTCCCAAATCCAATCATAATTTTTATAATAATAATTTTTAAGTATAATTATGATTCGTGATTAAGTTATTTTATAGAAATTTTTTATTTTAATTATTATTATAGTAATCTTGTTGATGATTAAAAATTAAAGACTTTAAATTTAAGAATATTGTTAATGTTATACTTAACGAGATGGGAATTAAATATTGAAAGTGTCATCCCTTCTTATCATACACGACTAAATTCTTAAGTGATTATATAAATAAATAATTGTTTAGACATTTTTTATATTTATTTCAAAAATCGATATCCAAAAAATATAATTAAAAATTTTAATTTTTGAATATTAAAAAAAACCAAAGTTTGAAAAAAAAATCAAAAAAAATAAGATAGTTAATAAAAAAAATTCAAATAAAAAAAACAAGGTGATATATAAATTTTGTTTTTTTAATATCGTTAATGAACCTTCATTTTTTAAATATTTTATAAAAAATATTTTTCATCAAATAAAAGAAATATCCAAATTGTTAAGGTCAGATATGAAAATTATTTTGACATTAATTCATATTTGTTATATATATATTTTGTCTTTTTCGTTTTTTTAATTTAATATATTATTTTTTTAAATTTTGACAGGTAATACCTTAAAACATTACATATAGGATATGAAAACAATCATTTCTGGATCTCATCAAGAAAAATGTATAATGTTATTTATTTTACTAATATTAAAGAGACTTAAATTTTCTATAAAATATAAAACTCAATAAATTTCGTTTTTTAAAACTAACAAGCATAAATTCTCCCTTTACAAAGTTATTATACAATATCATTGGTTTATCAATGTGTATATAAATAATTATCATACTTCTAGAAAATGAAATTAGTATTTCTTATAAAGTTTTTGATTGTTTTTTTTTTAAAAAAAATTTCGTTTATTATGTTTACCTCCTAAATTTTATCATACTTCTTTTGAATTATATAAATCCTGTATGGCAATATCTCGCGCGCATTATAGCATTATAACAGAACTCTTTATTTCTGCCTTAGCTAATAAGGAACCCATTCTGGCTTTTAAAAAAAAAATTATTTATCTAATAATAAAACAAAATTAATACAATACAATACTCTTTTCATTCATTAAAGTTATTAAATTATTAAACCTTCATTTAATAAAATTCCATCAACGAATCAAAATAAATCGGAGAAAATTCCATGGGCAGTGGTTTGTCCAACTGCAAAGACGGTGAAGCATTCACTTTAGATAATTATAATCAACATATATCGCTTAAATCTACGGAGGATTTCGTTTGTGCCACTAATAACTTACACAATCACAACGAAATGAACAATAACTATAGTCATTTGACGAAAGATATGCCTTTTTATTCAGGTAATTATATAATAATTAATAATAATATAAAGATAGATAGTATGAAGGAGGAAAGAAAAGGAAAAGAAGGGAAAGAAGGCTTGAAAACGTTTCTTTTCTCAGTGCAATATATTTTCAAAAGGCGACGTTTCTTGAGTATACCTAAAAAATCTTTTATCAGTTTCCCTTTATTTTAGTCGGAATTTGTTAGTAAGCGCGAAAATAGTGTACGCTTCCCATCGCGATATACTTGCTTAATTTGCTGTGCAGAGCTATACCGCGCATACTATAAATTCCAGGATATTTTATAATAAAATAAGTTTAACATTTCAGGTAGGGTAAGAGTAAATCGACACTTTTAATATTTAATCGTTATCATTAAAGTTGACGATAACAATGCTTATACGACCTGTCCGCTGGTCAAGCGGACTGGTTATCCTGTATTAAAAAAAAGAATAATGTTGTTAAAGTTAACTAGTTAAATTTTTGCGAAAAGAATAACTGTTATATTGCTTGGGATGTGACAACAAAAGTAACAAGTTACACTAAGTTTTTTAAAAAAAATATGATATATATCCCATTTTACTTTCTATATATTAGATACCTGCAGAGGTACCACACGACCCGGCCCCGATTTAAAAGGAATATTTATTATTTTTTAAATTTTATAGATAATAATAACTATTTAAAATATTTGATCTTAAAATACTATCCGGTTACCCGGGCCGGGCCTGAAGGTCTCTGCTATATATAATGATTTCTCAAATTAAAAATTACTGTTTATAGCAGAAAGAGTTTGCTTAGCCTGGGCAAGCTTTTGGAGAAAAACAAAAAATTTAAACATGAATTTTGGAAATAGTTTATTGAATAAATTCCGAGTTTTATAAATAATTCATAACTTTCAATATAACTTACATTTGAAATGTGGCTGTAACTTGTTACTTTTTAAGGATATAAAAGTAACTTTTAACAATATTAATAGAAATGTGGGCATAAATATTCCCACTAGAAAAATATTTTCAATGGTAAATATAAGAGTTTTTAAAATACATGTTTTACTTATTTTTGTAAAATTTTGAGTTTTTTTCGGTTCTCATCGCTTGACATTTTTGTGAAGGCCATCACCATTTGGACAATATTGCATTGCTTGGTTATTACATCCATAGATAAAGCCCAGCAACTCAAATATTTTTTTGAGCTAAGCCCCCCCCCCTTCCACAAAATATTATCTAAAGTTCCACGAGGACTCGAATTTAATAATTTAAAAAATAGATAAAAATTAAATGCATTGCTAATAATTTATTTTGTAAACATTGTAGTATATAATATAATAATCGTGAGTGCAAAAAATCTATAACCTTTTGTTTAGGATCCTTTTTTTGGTATTAATTATAAATTTATATTTTAATCTCGTTAATTATTTATTATTGTGATTCAACAAATTAAATGAGCATCGAGTTTAAATTCAAAGATGATATCATCCAGCCTAAGTAAATCAATATATTTTTTTTAGTATATTTTTCATGTTTTGATTTTTTTTTAAATTGGTGTTTGTTGTTACACGGCTCCTTAACTTGATATTTTATCCAGAAATATTTAACCCAAGCCTGAAGATTTTGCTGGCCACAAAGATTTTGGCACCTATGAACGAAATCTCAAAGGGTTCTAGGCAATATTTTTCTGAAATATTGAGTTAACCGTTTTTTAAAAATCGGATCTCGAGCCATTTAGCAACTCTACATTGAGTGTTTGTTCTGTTTGTTCAACACTTCAAGGTATCACATTAAAACCATTTCCCCTAATAAAAAAGGAATAAACACTTTATTACATTATTAATATACACACTTACCTATATTACATTATAACTACGTATAGTTAAGCCATTTGCAATTATATTTACAAGTTAGCGTTATTAGACCACCCATTGATTTTTTAAACGCGGCCCGATTGAGATTTTAGCCAAAATAATTTTATGACAGCCGGGAAATTTTGCTCACAGATGTCAGAAAGGTTTGGAAATAATATTATTTTTTCTTAAATCTTAATAGGGCCATTTTTAAAAATCTACCCGAATCTGGCCGTTGAAACAACAATTAATAGAGGTATTAAATTTCGAAAAATTGAAAAATATTTATACACGAAAAATTAATTATACAGTATATTACTCTCTCCCCCCCCCCCTGACCTCTCTATTTAAGATCTTATAAAACTTTCATCGAGTTTATATATAATATAACCTTTTTTTCTCCTTCTGTTTCCTTTCTCTTAAAATATTTTATTACCATTCTATTAAAATACAAAATCCATTATTGATTTTTAATATTAAAAGAAAAATAGAAAAATATTTTAAAAAAATATATAAAATATGCTTCTTTTTTTCAAAAAATCAGTGTATTTATTTGAAGGGGTTTTTTTTATCCAATGTCATTTTTTTTTAGTAATAGATATTTATATCATTTCGATTCCTACATTATATGTATAAAAAATGAATTTTTATCTCAAATCATCTTGTAATAATAATTGAATTGTAATAAGATCCCAAATTATTATATTTTTTGAACCATACATATTTTGAAATAATGGAGTGTTTGGATAAAATTTGAATTTAAAAACAATCTAGTTAGGAATTGGAACAAAATTTATTTTTAAATATCAATCAAATTCTAATCTAAATTAAACAACTATTAAAATTTTAAAACTATATGAAATGTAAGAAATAAATATGAAATTTACCCGAATCAAACGAGGTGTATTTTTAAATTGTAGGTTTGGTTAATGATTACAGTTAGAATCCGAAAAGTAATTTAGGACAAAAGCTCACTGAACTGAGTTCACAGCTCAGGGTTCGATTCGAAACCTTGAATCAAAACTAATCTCACGTTTGATTGCTAAAATTGAATATAATTCTTTATCATCAGTCAAGGGAAAATATAATGAAGATACAATAAGATTCGTTTATAGAACTTTTGCTATTTGAATAACCAACCACGCTTACGCGTTTTCTCTTCTTATATTCTCATATTTATGTCTTTTTATTTTTAAAATACAAAACAAATTAGCTGCCGACAACAAGAGAGTTAAATCACTTCCAGAGCATAGGGTTAGGATCAAACGACCCGATAAGGAGAGTGTTGATATAGTCGTCCGTTCCTTTTCAATGGGAATCGATCCCGGGCCCATTCAAGTCGATGAATCATCTGACTCTATTTTCCGCTTCAAAACCCCATATTTTAGGTTTTTCTTAAAAAATGGATTATTATATTCGTTATCTTATCTACATTATAACTCTTTATTACAAATTATTACCAAAATATAAATGATAATAATGTATATGTCCGAAAACGAAATGTCCCGTTAACTAGAGAGTGGGAAAAGTATACCCTAATTTTGGTCTCGTCCGGTCTCAGTTTGTTTGAAAAACAGTCCGTCATTCGTAACGCGTCTGATAGACATTCTACAAAAACAAGACTGAAAACCAGATTTATTCATTATTATATTAAATACGCAAATTCTATTATAATTTTAGAATTATGTTACTCTTAATGAATATGGAAAATTAGGTAAATTAATTATTGACTATTATCACCGAATTATCATTAGCGAATTTCAAAATGTCCCAAGATCCGGGTAGGACAAATTTTTTTGGAAAAATATCACGTGTTTGAAAAAGGACACTATATTTGCAAAACGCTTTCTGTCCTAAAATTTATTTTACAAAAAATGTGTCCCAGAAACCGTCCTCTGTCCCAAAAAGACAGGGACCGGTTAAACTTGCCGGATGTAATGGGTATATTACATAAAAAGCGTTAACTTTATACCACCTCTAATACCTACATTTTGCATACTAATTGTTATAAACGAAATATTTATTCTTGCATTACAATCATTTTAACTCATTACCTGTTTCGCTTTTCATGATTGGTTCCTTTTTTCCTATGCTTCCAAAAAAAAAACATTTTAAAATTAACAATATTTTCACATTATGCTTAATTACTCATTTGAATAAAAGATTTTAATTAATATACAAATTACTTTATGCAAATGCAATTCTATTATGATTGCGAAATTTTTATGGTTAATACAAACTTTTAGATCATGTTTTTCAATTACATTTATCAAATAAAGTAAGGTTTTGTAATGATCCCCTTGGAAACATCATTTAAAACAATCCTTTTTGTAAGGAATATTGTATTTTCATTATAAATTATGCTTTCTTAATCAACCTACGCAAACTTAAAATCTAGGTTTTTATTTTTATTTTCATTATTATAGGCTCATATGTCATAACAAAAGAAAATACGTTACAATTACTTATTTTATATTATTTGGCTTTATCCTTAATATTACCTTGCAAGGTTAATTCAAATATAACTCTTACATTGACAATTTTCTTTATTTGAGCATTTTGCGAAATAAATATTTGTAACGTAATTTCATTTTTTCATAATTTTATTTATTTATTTTACGTTGGGGAAATCAAGTTGAAATGAGTTCCATTTAGCAATATATGATATATTTGATCCAAATTTTTTTGATAAAAAAAACGATTTTTTTATAAACTAATGTAAATTTTTGGCATCGAATCGAAATTGTATTTTAATAGTTACTTATAATTTATAAAACTCCATTAAGTTTACAAAAATTTTTAATTTTCTCATTTAAGTAAGTTTGAATAATAATGCCTAATAGTGGGGTAATAGCGTTGAACGTTATTGATTTTTTTTATAGGTATTTAGTAAAATATTGGATAGACTCGTAAAAATATCGTTCATTTCTGTGGCCTAGAGTAGTTATAGCTATATGATGGCTATCGTCATCTATCATTAGCCTCCTATTATGGAAAATTACATATTATGAATGAGTGTAAATAAAAATAAAAGCGAAGGCGGTGTCAAATTTAAATATTTTATACTTGGCTCTTGATCCTAGTTACAGATAGATTTATGTTTATTTTGGATGGTGGATATAAAATTAATTTTTTAATAATTAATAAAAAGGTATTTTCAATATCCCAATGTCAATATAGAAAAGATAATGGCTTACTAAAAAAAATCGATTTTTGAGTAAAAATATCTGCTAGCTTTGTTCGACCTGACTGCAAAATAATTTTTACTGGTCATGCCTTAATTTCGCGTATCTTTTTAAGCTTAGAATTAGATAAAAACCTTTTCCTTCATAATAAATTATTACGGGCGGGGGCAAACCACGTACAGAAATAATTCGGACCCGTGCGATAAACCTCTTCAAAAATTTCCAAGAATCTTAATTCTTATAACGAGCAAAAATCAGTAATAGTCTTTTTTTCTGGACTACATACCGTGGTCTAGCAAAGACGCTGCCAATTTTATTATTATTATTAATTTCATGAGTAAGTTTTTAAATCATTTTTTCTGGTATATTTAATTATTTGTATCCTTTATGATTTGAAATATATTTTCTCTTTACGGTTCCTTCATCTCGAATTTGCATCCCAACTATCTAAGGGACTCCTATCTTTAAAAGAAAAAAATAATAAGCTGATATCAGAGTTGTTTGAGTAATAATAAAAACTTTAATTATTATCTTAATCAATATTCGGTTATATACTCGTACAAATGTTAAATATTTATTTTGTAATTAGGGGTAAAGCAACTCTGGAAATTCCGCCCTTAGATTTTAAAGAAACGTGGATTTTTGGATGGATACAAGCGTGCTACGATCTAAAATTCGTTAATACATACGGAAAATATGGATAGTAAGTTATCATAATATATATTAAAAAAATTGATTCACATATTTAAAATAAATGAGGCTCTTCTTGAAGTTGATGGGTTCTAATTGTTTTAAAAAAAATTAGTCTTGGATTTCAATACCATCTCAAGGCAATTCTAACATATTTCTTCTCTGACATGGGCTTGTAGATTTAATCCAATATAGGATCCAAAACTTTAGCTATCAAATAAATAAATTTACAAATATACTAATTGAAATTATATAGTTGGTAAATCATTATGAATACTTTTAAAAAAAAATTCTCAAGCGAGATTTTCTATATACGACATTTAAAATATTTTCTCTATAAACGGCACATTCTCTATAATTGTTTTCTCTAAAAAAAAGTTCTTATATTATAGTTTATATATAATATAAAAGACGGTATTACCATCAAATTTAGTAAACAAAACAGTTTAAATATATTATTTTCGAATATACTATAAATAATTCTTTAAAAAATAAATTAAATGCATTATATTATAATTCATTTTTTAGTATATAAAAATAAATTTATTAAGCCTAATAGGACCGGTAACAAACGCGTCATAAATTACAATGAAAACAGAATTATGATTTGAAAAGCAATTTATAAAATAATTTAATTAATTTTAAATTTTATAATTAAAGTTGATTCCCTTTTTTATCTCTCTTCTAAAGCTTTTGTAATTTTATCATTTTTTTAGTGTTAATGCGGTTTCGTTTTATAAACATGATTATTTGTCGCGAATGAATGTAATAAATTTCTAGCAATATAGTAAAAAAATTTTTTAATAACACATTAGTATTAATTAATTACTTAAGAGTTTTGGTAATAAAATTCTTTATTTTAGTCAAGGTTATAAAAAACAAATAAATCTCCTATATAAATAAAATATAAAAAAAAAAAATTTTTTTTTATAAAGCCTAATTGTTTTTCGCAAAGGATTCCAATTTCGTAAAAAGGTGAAGGATAATATTGATATGATATTACGTATTTATTATTTACCATTTCTACAATTTTAATATTACACATTATTTTATCGTGAGTATTTATTCACTTATATTTAAGCTCTCAATGGAGTATACCTGGTCTGAATGGCACGTTAGAAAAAGCTATATCCGATTCGGACGGCAAAAAGTTCCCATGGTTAGCAACCTTTATAGAATTTATGTATAAATAAATATGAACGAATAAATGAAAGAATGAGTGAATAAATGAAAGAATGAGTGAATAAATGAAAGAATGAGTGAATAAATGAAAGAATGAGTGAATAAATGAAAGAATGAGTGAATAAATGAAAGAATGAGTGAATAAATGAAAGAATGAGTGAATAAATGAAAGAATGAGTGAATAAATGAAAGAATGAGTGAATAAATGAAAGAATGAGTGAATAAATGAAAGAATGAGTGAATAAATGAAAGAATGAGTGAATAAATGAAAGAATGAGTGAATAAATGAAAGAATGAGTGAGTGAATGAATGATTGGAAGAATGAATGTGAATGTTTAAATAATAAATATACGAATAAATGAAAACGAATCTTAATTTTTAATAGGTACGGAATTCGTTCGGACGAAGTTTTTGTTTTACCCTTCCCCACAACCAAAACTCACACTAAAGTTGTGTGCATGAGTGACAACTTTTACCCCCACGTTACGTGGGATTACCCCGGAGACAAATTCGAATCCGCTAAATTAACAAAAGTTTGCAGAGATCAGAGGTTCTACGTTTGGCTAGTTGGTAAATATTTTTTTTTAAATAATATGCTACATACAATTATATTTTTGATCTGATTTCCTTTGGTTCGTTCTGATCCATGTGAAAGATCTTAAGGCCTAAAATAAAATGGAATAAATTGTAATAGATTAAATTTCTATCATATTTTTTTTATTACGGTTTTTAGCAATGAACTCTACCCTGAGACAAATATACGTTTTGAAAGCTGCCAAATGGAGAATGAAGGTTTGTTTTTTAGTTTACTTTGTAAAACCTCATAAATGTATAATACCATATCAATATTAACCATTATTATTAATTAGAACCCTGTGTGGACAGGTTCGAACTTGGCAAAATTTTAAATTATTTTGTTTTATTTTAAAGTATTTATAAATATATATTTTCAAGAATTAACATACTTTTTTTCAATCACCTCTTAGGCTATGTCGTACTTTGTTTTATTTCTAAACAGTGGGTCTGTTCCTCTTAGGCTATGTCGTACTTTGTTTTATTTCTAAACAGTGGGTTTGTTTTCGCTAGCTATATAGCTTCCTCTGAAACAGCCTAAGGGTGTTCTAATTCAAAATCATTCATCCTGAACTAAACAGAAATAAGTTTCAAAAATGACACGAACCAGGATACTGCCTTAGAGAATTTTTTGTCCGCTTTCGTTAAAATATCCTACCTTTTTTTAAACAAATATATATTTAAAAAAATATTGGATCCGACTCTGAACTGTTTCTAAAATATAATTTCGGATTTGAATTGGATCCTTGGGGGAAAAAATATGCTGATCTGATTGGTCAGACAAAAATAGGCTGCTGCGGGACTCTGTTGTTAATTCGAAACCCATTATAGCGAATACTATCTCTAATCTTATATGAACCCATTATTAGAATATTATTTTAAAAGGCGCTTTTAATTAGGAGATTGTCTAAGTGTAATTTTTTTGTAAATTTAAATATACTATTTGATTGATATATTTTTTTGATTTTTTTTTAAATACAAAGGTAACCGTCAAACTAGACCCCCTTATGCCTTTGGGAAATAGAACTATATCGGTCAGCGGCAAGCTAACGCCCCCACAAATATTTTTCGCCGACGAAAAAAATAACCTGACAAAATTTATACCCTTGCAAGTTCTATCTCCGCCTTCGGCAAACACTTGCCAGATATTAACCTGGGTCCCCAAAGGTTTGACCAAATTCCTCACTAATTAATTTTTTGCTTATTATATATGTTTGGGGCAATTGTTTTTTCCGGCAATGTGTTATTTTTTCAACTTTAAATCATTTTTTGAGCGCGTCTTTTAAAATTTAAAAATTTGATCTTACCGGAAATGTATTCCATCATGGTTGGAATACCTATGAATTTCAAAAAATTTTGCCATTAACTTAATATTTATTTGGTTTTTGCATAGAGCTTTTATACAAATTATAAATTACTCAAAGTTTAGCCGTAAAATTGTCTAAAATTCATACGATAGGTACTCTAATCATACTAAAATACAATGGTAAAATTTTTAAATTTAAAAAAAACATGTTCAAAAAATGATTTAAAGTTGAAAAAATAACGGTTAATGGTAGATACTGCCTAAGGCAATATCTATCAAATTGGTATTCTGTTTATTTTTCATTTGGATAGAAACTACCAAATTTATTTATACATGATTATCGGAAAGCGTGTGTGGCCTAGTCGTTAAGAATGTCACTTGCCAATTCGATAGTTTTAGGTTCGAATCCCAGTCAGGATCATGTTTTTTTCAGAAGCCAATTTGGTTGTTCACTCCTTGGAGGAGAGTCAGACTCGACCACGTGATTCTATTAATATATACTAAATAATAACTATCTCTTATTATATTTTATTAAATTTGGGTCGGTATTTAGCAAATTGGGTTGTTATTTAGAAAATTGCTATATGTTGACTTGGCAGTATCTATCATTAACCAAAAATAACACATTGCCGCTAACATAAAATACCAAATCAAATTTTTACATTTTAATCTATCTTTGAATCTTTTTGGTAATAATTTTTTTTAAATATTATACATGACTCCGAAACCACCCTTGTATTAAAAATCAAATTTACTATTATATAATAATCATGTATAAATATTTATTGATAATAATATATATCCGGTTTAATTTTTAATGCCTGTCTTCTTTTTACATACAGGAAAAAATAACAAAGGAATAGTAGTTATTCCCGCTAAACGGCAACTGCATCACAACGAAAGAAAAGATTTGGAAGACAAAAAAGATGAAAAAAAATCATAGCATAATATGACAAATGGCTGATAGTTCTGTGATACAATATTCTTTAATATTTCCCCACTCATTTTAGTCCTATTTATTTATATATAAGATAATACAACTCACAAAAAACACATACACTTAATCGTGCAATATATACTTATAATTATTTTCAATATCAATTAATAATGAAGAAAAAATTGTGCAAATTATAATTATCAAATTTATATTTTTTTTACAAAAAAATGATATCAATAAAACTCTTTAGTTCAAATTTTGAATATTTTCAGTCGTATCACGTCAATGATGCATTAGCACAAAATTTTTCACGAAATGTATTATTGCAAATGCATTACCACGAATGTTGATTACCGCTAAAAGATGATTTAGCGAATGCATTATTGAGAATGTATTATCGGAATCTATACAGCGAATGCATTACCTCAGAAACATTATTGCGAATGTATTACAGCGAATGCATTAGGGGAACGTATTACTGCGAAATTAATAATACAAATCCATTATAGGGAAATTAATATAAGGAATGCATTAAAATGAATGTATTATCGCCAAGTCATTGTCGCGAATGCATCATCTTGAATGTATTATCGCGAAAGCATTATCGCTAATGCAATAATGTTTATTATTTGACAAATGGTTAATATAAATAATTAAAGTTCCTTTACTGCTTATACATTTACTTTATAATAAGGAGTTCATATTTTAAATATTTCTGAAACTATAAATTTGTTAGATTTTAGGAGTGCCCAGACCCATATTATTTTTTCAAATAAATTCTTTAAACTCTCTACTGCTATATTTTAACTCCGAGTTAAACCTTTTTCAAAAAAAGAGACCTATCTTAATTGACGTTTTTAATTTGGTTTGCGTATTTATATATATACTTAATTTAATTAAATTATTAAAGTCGTGAATTTACTATAATTCTTTTTAACTATAATTTAATTTGAAAATATTTTATGAATATTCCATGTTGATACAATTCAAAGAAATGTATATATATACCGGGTGATTCAAACTAAAGTGTCGTTTTAAGATCACTATAACTCTAAAGCACGTCACCTGCTATTTGAAATTTCATTTTTTTTAAAAAAAATATATATGGAATTTAATATCCGTAAAAATTTGATTAGTTTTTTTAAGGAAATTAAAAAATAGTAGTATTTGACAAAAATAATAATTTAAGACCCTCGTTTATTTTCATTTATTCATAAATGGTCTATATGGGTTCCCATTTGGTTTAGCCGGACTCTCGCAACGGGAATTCGCGACGAAGTATGTAAAAATACAGATATTAAGTATACTTTGCTGCCAATTTGTGCTAACCGTGAATGCAGGGTAATAGAAAACAAAGCATATTTTATTTCAAAATTGAGTAAAAAGGCAAAGCCGCTCGTAGAATTTATTGAGAAAACCGGAGATAGTGTTGTTGAACGGCCTGATTTTTAAAAATGGCTAACCCAATATTTTAGCCAAAGATATTACACAAACCTGGAGAGTTTGTTCATATATGTATGTTAGAAAGATTTGGGCATCTATTAGCGAAATCTCAAGGCTTGCGCAATATTAATTTTACTATAAAATTTATTTAAAATTGGCTAAATCGAGCTGCACAACGCTACAAGGAATTTCCCATATATAAAATTATGTTTTTCTTAATTTAATTTTAAAATATTAAATATTTTTATTTTCAATTTAAGCGTATCGCCTCCGATGGTCATACATACCCAATACTTAATTTTTAATGATATACTCTTTTTCTCGTCAAACATAAAAAATCCAAGAATCACTTATCATAGCAATTCTTTTAAATGTAATATAATCAGCTCTTTCAAAATAATACATCTGTTGAAATATATAATTTAACCAAAATATACGTATAAAAAATATGTAAATGAAGTTGTAAATACAACACGCCCACCATTAATAGTTCAAACGCCCTTATATTCATATAAAATATTATAACATAATAAATCTTTTTTAACGATTCATATGTTCATTTCATTTTGCTTCAGGATTTGTCAGCAATCCCATAAATATTCGGGCATTGACTGCTTCCCAGCGCCATTGTTTAAATATATAAGTAAATAATGTTAAGAACTGGGCTTAAAAGTGAGGCTATTTTGAACAAACAAAATTTTAATTACAACTCCCCCCCCCCCTTTTTTAATCAAGCCTAAAAGCTCATATTAAATGGAAAATGATGTCCTACTTTACTTACAATTGGTTCAATACGCGATGCACTACTTCCACATAATATGGGCATTCTCAGGTAAAGCAGTAAGAGCCATGAATATTGTTCTCTATATAACCCAGATCTAAGTTTTAAAATTACTCTTCCCCATGTTACTAGTTTTATCGTAAAGCAGTAAGAGCCATGAATATTGTTCTCTATATAACCCAGATCTAAGTTTTAAAATCGCTCTTCGGGTAACTATTTTTATCAATACATACCTTGCACATGACATACGAATACATCAATGTAAATATCCGTAGTCCCTTAGTATGTCCCAAATTAATCTCACTTTTTACAAAAAAATATCATATCAAAAAACATAATATCTATACTTTATGCATACATATACAATTTAAATCTAAAAATTACTATGCATTTTCATTGATTTTAATATCTTCTCTGCCATCCGATCAACCCATACCCAAAATGAGTTAATCTTTGTTTATCACATCTTCTTATCGTTAACTGTGCTTCTGATTGGCCCTTATTGCAAATCTCTTTATCCCTGGTTTATAGTATTAACATATCGAACTAGTATCCTCAAGCCACACAATCATCCTTGTACTTGTCCTGATTCCTTGCTGTTTCATCATTTCGCTGTTCAGTCTTCTTGCTTTTTTGTATATTCCTCTTTTAAATTTTTTATCTTCTAATTTCAAATTTCATTCATTTTTCTTAACAATATTAGATATGGGTAAATAACCATAATAATATATACATAAGTAAAAATTTAATTCAGGTTCATCATTTTCTTATAAAAATTAAAAACACATGTTAAATAAAATAAAAATCATTCATACTAAAATTAAAAATTTATGGTAACCACAAAATAGAATAAAACAATTAACATATTTTCACTCTCACTGTATATATATGTATTCACTCATATCTTCTTCTATCTCCTTCCTTTAACAATTACACTTACAGAATGTCAAAAATATTTTATCAAATTAACCTGTAATTGTTAATCCCAACATGTATTTTATTTACCACCAAAAAATTTAATATACAATTAAAAGAAACTATAATAGTTATTTATATCAACTATATCCCAAAATATTTTAACCAATTTTAAAATCACAATAATCCTAAAAAAAATTAATCTTTATATCTTTTGTGGAATCACAATTATTTAATCAACATTAAACTTATATCATCCTTCCACTTACATTCAAATACATTAAATTCTTCCTTAATACTTCACCACTTCTTCCTTTTTTAGGCTATTAAATAATGTTGCTTCACAATTTTGATCTCAAACCTTATTAAAATTTCCCCAAAAAAAATTCGATCTCTAATTGAGCTCTATTGTGACATGAATTTTGATGATTAGACCCAATTAACTTCATGATGATTTGGGTTAATTCAACAATCCTATATGCCAAATATTATCTATCTTATCTTATCTTAGTCACCACTCTATTCTAAATTAAAAAAACAAGATAAATATTAAATAAAATTCTATTAATTCTGCCTTTAGCCTTTAATGTCGATATAAATTATATTCCCGTATATGCTTATTCGTTTCAATATCTAATATATAATATCACTTAACAAATTATTCCTAACTAAAAATGCCATCTATTAAATCACAACCTACCGTTTCCTTTAAAATAATATATTTATTTTGAGTAATTTATATATGAATTAACAGTTTAATTGTCACATCTGATATTTTGGTTTAATTTCATCAATAACTTTTTCTAAATTTTATTTTATTCCATAAAATTTCTATCAAGTTATTTTATTTTATTCCATAAAATTTCTATCAAGTTATTTTTTATAATTAATCAGCCTAAACTACCACACAACCTAAAATTTATTTTTCTATATAAATCTTATAATCCCTAATATCCTTAATCATATACATATCAACCTTATATACTCTATTTTCCTTTAACTAAATTTATAACACTAAAAAATCATTATTTACTACATTCATTATTACACGTAGCTTCAATATATTTTCTATCTATATTCTCCCTTAATTATAATTCAACACTACAATATTTTTGTTTTTTTTTACTAAAAGCTATTTAGCTTTGGGAGAACATATCATGGATTATTAGTAATAAATGTGTCCATAAATATTTTCCTTTTGAAATTAGATTGAAGATTTAAAAGTCAGATTACTAGCCATGTCATTCGTCAATCTTTAAGTACTTCGCCCTTCTGTGTTGTTGTGAACAACAGAGCTACGCTAGATTCTTCCCACGTTTGGGTTAAATGAAATATATGGGGGTTAATATAAAATGATAAGAATCATCCACCAATTTTTGGGCAGTCTGTAGTCGCATATAAAGACTAGCTTCATACTTAAACGCTAATGGAACATTAAAAAGATAGTGAAAGGAACCCATGCCCGCTTTAAACAAAATTTTTTTATTTGAGTCTGGATAAGTTAAATTTAATTTTTACTGAATTAAGGTTTAACAAAGTCTATGTGAGAGATTAGTATTGAGATGCGTTTTGTTTTATAAGAATATTCTAAAGATTTAATAAATCATATCCATTGAATCATCCTAAATGGATAACATTTAATATATATAACTTCTATGTTCCTTCACAAAAAATTTCACAAACAAAATTCTTTCCACTTATCAATTGATCAAATTCAATATCCATTTGCACCGGAAAACTGAACCCAATCAAATATTTTCTATAAAAATTTTAGTGGCTAAAAATTTCTAAAATTAGTAGTTTGAACGAAAAAAATATAGGCACTAGGCAGCACATAATATCCTACAGTATGAGGCAAGCTAGTTTCCCAGCAGCTTTGTTGAACATCTGTTGATTGATTTAAATTTGAATATTATTTATTTTATATGTTGATTGATTTAAATTTGAATATTATTTATTTTTATATTTAAGTTGTTCAATTAACTTTTAAAATATATATATATATAATTTTGTGGATGAAAAAAGAAAGGATAATAAAATAGTTAAAATAAGTTTTACAATTTTTAATTTTACAATTTACATGGTGCCCCGGTTACGGTGGTACGTTTTTCATTTTA